TTCCTGTGGGTCTCTATGACCTGCATGAGCGGCAGAAGGAGAACTGAAAAGCAGGATTTAAAAGTTAAGCCCCCGGGCTCGGGATTGAGAAACTTCTCATAGACTTGAAGAGACTCTGGATCCACCCCAAAGACAAAATCCTGAACGCTTCATCGGGATGCATTGGGTTGATCCTGCGGTGCGGAACCGCTCAGAGTTCTCTGCAGAACAATTCTCAGGCTGAGAGTGCATCTCCAATCCTCTCCCTGGGAACTTTCCAAGCCCGCGCAGCGCTGCCGTGCTGCACAAATCACCAGAGGTTGTCTCCCTTCCCAGCACGGCGGCTTCTGGATGCAATCAACCAAGGTTTCAATTTCGCATCACATTTTCCATTCCAAACGCGCTCGGTTGTTGGTTAATTTTGCAATTCCAAACGTTCCCCCACTCAGCGTTGAAGCATGCAAGCTATTTTTGTGCTCCCACCCTGGCACCGGCCAAATTGTAGCAAGATTTTCAGAAAGTGAATGCTAAGAGGGCGAGGAGCCGGATGGAGCGAGGCTATTTAATAAATAACTCAGTCTTGCATGGAAAGGAAGAATGGGAATTAGCACGCATGGTAATTATCTGGCAGCATTTGCTCTCCGTTCCCCTGACAGGCAGCTCTTTGCCTTCCCCCATAGAGGAGCCACTGGATCGCAGTGCTGGATTTCGGGTGGGTCGTGCTGTGCTGCCTGCTATCACACCCAAAGAGCTGGGAAGGGAATATGGGGGCTCCCCGCGCCTCTTGCATTCCATTGTAATAAGATTTCATTTCACTTCTGCCAAACTCCTTGAGCAGCACTCAGCATTCAGCTGTAAATGGCCATTGACGTGCATTTGTCCCAAATTCCTCTCTCAGGGGCTGCTCAGAGCTCCCTCCACGGGGCCGACGTGCCTTCAGCCCCAGTGCTGGTGCCGGAGTGACTTTGATCTACGTCGGTGAATCCAATTTAGCAGATTCATCTCTTGTGTTTAATTTTCATGTTAACATAACAAGGTTATATCATGGCACAGCAAGGTTCCAGAGGCAGGACTGAGAATTTATAATAGACAGCAACATTAACAACCTCGCACCAGCTATGTGCAAATGGAGGCTCTTGGAGCAATATTTTCCCTCTGAGATCCAGGGAGCTTTCAGTGCAATAAAAAAAAATTCCAGAGCTGCCAGCAGTGAAGAATCTCGTGCAATCAGGATTAAGCTATTGGAAAGGAGCTGGCAGCACGCTGGGCAGATGAGTGGGCTTGGTGCTTTGGAGGAGGAAGATGGGAAGGGAGCACAGGACCCCGCCACCAGCACCAGCAGGGGTGGCAGGGCTCTGTTGATCCTCTCTGCTGAAGGATGAATGCAAATCCAGAACATGGAAACTCATGGCGGCCCCATCCCCATTCCCGTGCATTGGGAGGTGTAAATCTTTATCCAAAGCTCAGACCAAAGGTTGCAGTGCTGCAGGGCTGGGGATGTACACACCGTGTCCCATGGCCAACGCTCAGGAAGGGCAGAGCATCAGTGCCGGAGGAGAGGGGTTGTTATGGTAACAAATGACTTGTGTTCTCCAAAAGATTTTTGTTTAACAGGGAGAAAAAGCAGGGAAGAAGGAAAGGATACTATTTCAGAAAGAAGTTTAATGAGACATCGGTCGTGCAGTCCCATTCTCCTGGAGAGCAGAATGGCTCAGGAGGGAGGGAGGTGGTGATGGAACCCACAGTGCCACTGACAGCAAAGCATCTGCCCCATGGGGAGGCCTGGCCGAGGAAAAGCATTGACCAGGAACGCAGGAACACGTATTAACAGGAGCACTACGAAAGAATTTATGGGTGACTTAAGATGCAGCCCATTCTCCTAGTGAATGCCTCGTCTGTTTAAGAGCAGTAATTGCCTATTATCTAGCAGCTTCTGATGGGCTTGGCTCGTGCTGGCGTGACACACGAAGATGCAGCACATATTTAAGGAGCTAACGCCAATTCAAAGTACCTGCTTGTAATTTTAAATGCAAGAATCCGATAAAATCCAAACGGCGGCTGGGAGGTGAGAAAGCCAAAAGCACACACAAAGTACCTAATCAATAACCAGGTAAGTGCCCCGGAGCAAAGAAGTGGACGCAGCCATTGTTAACCGCTTAAGCTGCAGAAGACAGTTCTGCTTATCTTTAAAGGCAGCGCATTTTTCCTCTCCGTTTCTTTATGCCACTTATTTTGTGCCCCGTAGCAAAAGCAGCTTCATTGATCAAACAGAATTTGCTGAACGGCCGAAGGAACGTGGCAGGAGATGTGAGAGGGAGCGAGCAACCCGCTTGTTTATCTTCGCAAACGCCTTTTGAAATGCTCTGACTCGCTTTTTTTCATTCTTCCCTACACGATTATGGAAACTTTTTGCTCTTTGAAGTGGGTGAATATCACCCCGTCTCTGCTTGGGTGCTCACACGGAGGATGGGATCTGGTCCTTTGGGTGAGCTCTCACTGCTCTGCCGTTAAACATCCTGTGATGCTGCTCCTGTGCTGCGATGTCCGTCCTGCTGCCCTGCCCGGCGTCCCCACTCAGGTTGTTGTATCCCGCCTCCCCCAAATCCCCTGGGGTCTCGGTTATTTAGAGCCTCATTTTCCGAGGGCTAAGCACCGGCAATTCCAGCTGACTTCAATTTCCTCATCTGCAAAAAGGGGACACAATGATAGCGACCTCCTTTATCAAACACTTGGAGATCTGCTGATAAGGAGCTGCATCCGAGAGCTCGGCATCAGTAACAGTGATACAAAACAACGATAAAAGGGCTTTGCTCCACTCGGTGCCATCCCTCTTTGGCTGCTTTGTGATTCCTCCCACCCCAAGGCCCCATATGGGGTCTGGTTTCTCCCCCCCTCATATATGCCAAGAGGAAATACCAAGGAAATGCCCAGCAGCCCTCACTTCCTTGGGATCCCCACCTGCCCACGGTGTTCCAGAACCAGTTACTGGCTCTGACTTTAACCCTCCTCACTGCCACATCTGGCAGCCCTGCAGAGCATCCCTCCCACACAGAGACTCTCAAAGCGCCCAGATCATCCCTCACCCTTATTCCAGCAAACTCAATAGACTGAACTCTTTAATTTCCTTTAGAGGAGAGATTTTTCCAGCCCTCAATTCATCCCAGTCTGCCTTTTCTCCATCTCTCCATAAAGAAGAAACCTACTTTTCTTTTTTCATTTTCTTTTTTTTTCCTTGAGCTCTGTTTCACTTTCCATCAGGTGGGATTTTCTTTTCTCCTTTTTAAAATACCTGAGTTCTCCTGAGGAGATCCGTGAATAAATAGCACTGCCGTTAAAGGGCTCTCTCAGATTGTTCTCCCAAATCCAGCAGCTGATGCCCACTCTGTGACCCAGGGCCACGTCTGGCTGCCCTAGCAAAATTTTGGCTCCACATCATTTACCATTTCCTTTCACTAATGTAATCCATGTCCCCCTAGCCTCCTGGTGTGCCCAGGAGTGACAATGACATGGCAATCGATGGCGATCATCTCCCAACCAGCCTGGCTGATAAACACTTCCTAAAGCCGCTGCGAGCATGTCTGAGTCTCTGCCTCTGCATAAATTGGTTTTGATGTACACAACCAGAGATGCATATATTTTAAATTTATTCCTTCAGTGCACGTTGGTGCTGAACCCCTGCTGCTCTCAGAGCGGAGAGTGAAGCGGATGCGCTCCTTAATGAACCCTCGGAGCTGAGCTCTGCTGGGGCAGAGGTGGGAGGGCAGCAGGTGGGCACAGCGTGGTGATGGATGCAGCGTGGGCAGTGCAGGGCGTGCATCACGGGACACGCATGGGATGCACCTGGTGCTGCACAGCCCCACTTGGCAAAGCAGCCACGAGCAAGGTTGGGATGTGCAGTGACTCCCCACACTGCCTCTTGTTAGGGTATCTCCAACAGGAGCCCCTGCAAACCCAATTACACCCAATTAGAAGTCAGCTGGGTCATTACCTCTAGGTCAGATGTTTGCATACTGTTCTAATGAAAGCATTGAATGAAAACCCTGCCAAGTGGGAGGACCATGGCTTTCCTGTTACTGGGGCTGCTTCCTCATATAGCAGGTGGAGAACTGTAGTGAAAATGCCAAGTCTCAGTTTGCACCAGTGATGGAGCACCTGGTGTGAAGGCAGGGCCAGCCTAGAGGAGCTCAGCTGCATGCAATGTACCTGAGTGAATGGACAGGGTGGAGCCAGGATCCACTCCTTCCAGCCATCATTTAAGGGTTGGCAGTGGCATTGATGCTGTTTTGATGGAGATGCCTGTGTACTTGAGGACTTCTGAAGGTAAGCAGTTGCTTTCCTTTATTTCTGTACCTGTGGCTGCTGCACTTGATTGAATCCACATTTGCTGCAGCCTGGGACCTTGCTGCTCTGCTGTTATTGCTGTGCTTTCCTTTGCATTACAAGAACCTGTGGTCAATTGATGTTGAGGTTGCTGTTGAGATTGGGTTCTGCTGGAGCTGCTGCCTGGTGTGTGAACTGGGATGGAGGTGGGGACGGCTGGGAGGATTGCCCTGAAAGTGCAAACTGGGCCCATGCACCACAGTTAGATGGTGATTCCTTTGGCCTCGTTTGGCTGAATGTTATGGTTTGGGGTTTTTTTGTTTTGTTTATGGAATACACATTAAACAAAAATGGATACAGAAGAACTGATCATACCTGGTGCTGAGTGTGGCTCTGCTGCAAGCACAGACTGGATAGTTGGAGAGGAAGGGTTTTGTTGTAGTTAAGGGACTGCAGCTAAAGCTGAGGTCTGAAGGCTTCAATAGGCTGCAGTGGGGCTGGGAGAGGTGTGTGAGGAGCAGAACTGGGGGCTTTCTGAGGCACAGGGTGCCCACATGTCAGGGAGTGCTGGGGCTGGCACACGGTGTCCCTGCTGCCCTCATCACTGCTCAATTCGTGTAAAAGCACAGAGCTTGCACAGGGGAGGCAGCGAGGTCTCCTTTGTTTGCCTGCCTTAATTGAGCTTGCTATGTATAGCTGCTTATTGGAACCAGGTCACACTCAGCTCGGTGTGATTTCTGCAGGGATGCATGCAGCCACGTGCTCTGATCCCCCCATTAAGCTGTGCTGCACCCAGCTGAGGGGATTGCCTCTTACACCCGAGGTCAGCCTTCAATTTGCAGCTTTGTTTTGTAGAACACATCCATTTCCCTTCTGATCTCCAGAGTGGGCCATAGAGAATGATTGCTGTCAGAATGCTCTGCATCCCATCACCTCATCGTGTAATTGCCTTCCCAGTGACATTATGGATGGCTGCAGCCAATGGTTCTATTGGGTCTCTGCATCCTTCAGCTGCCACTTAACACAATCATTTCCTTTTGCTGGCTATAAATACGTTTGAATTCTCTGACCTCATGCTCCAGTATCGTTCTCAAAGGCAGAACTATTTCTTATTCCATTGCTCTTCAGCTCATTGTGGCCTTGAAGCTCCCTCAGCCCAACAAGTGTGCAGAGCAGGAGGAATGCAGCAGGCTGGGATGAGGCCCTGGTAGGAGCACCCTCTGGCCCAGCCTCCAGTGACAATTAAGTAGACAATTAGCAAATTATCATGGCCATGGACAAGCCCCTGGAACCAGGAGAGCTGCATGGATGCTTGCAAACTCACTGCTGTGCTGCTCCTTGTGCATCTCCTTCTGCAGCCCATACAGAGGCAGCAGGTGTGTGTCCTCCAGCTCCTGAATCAGATACGGTGCTCCTCTCATTGACAGCAATTTGCTTGCATAAATAATGAAGACTACAGTCTCTCATGGCTTGCTCCCCTCGTATTTGCCACTAATCCCAGTCTTTTGCTGAATATCTGTTTCCTAATAATTGCATCTGTTTTACACTTGGTTCTTTGGTGTACGATCACTTATTAGCAAACCTATTACTGCTCAGATGTTCTGCTCGCAGTGACCTTGTCCCTAAACCTCTCTGCCTCTCTTCCCTATTAAATCACCACACTGTAACTGCTGGAGTGGAAGGAATTTACTGCTTAAATAATTTATCTAGATTCAGTACAGAAAGTCTTTGAAGGGATTCATCAGCTAATAAAGAAAATTGATTCTGGAAGCCAAAGTCAATATGGGGTTAGAGAAACACCATCACCCTCATGTGGGCTCTCTTCCAGGAGCCTCTGTTCGGGCTGTGATCCCTCCTAAGCACTTCCAGCTCTCCCAAACCACATTGGGGCTCCATACCCCACACCTGATGTGCTCAGCAAGGCTTTGTCCAGCACTGGGAGGGCAGAGCAGCAGTGAGCGCAGAGCTGGGAGCAACCTCTGTCCTCCTGAGTGCATGGCTCTGCTCTGAGGGGATGCTGTCCTCTGTATGAAGGGATACACATCCTCTGTGTGGTCTGAATGATGATGTTCAGATCTTACATACATGTAAGCAGTGGAACAACCAAGATACAATTCAAACGTGCCCTGAGAAAAACAAGTGGGAAGTGATGTGTGATGGAGGCATGGAGGAAAGTGGCACCTTCAGTGGCAGCCCAAAGGAGATTAAAAAATAAAAATGGGCGAAAGAAAAAAGATGGAAGAAAATTTGGCAGCAACATTTGGACATATGGCTAATTTGTGCTTCATGGGTATTTCCCCATATGCTGCACGTACATGTGTTTGTTTACCCCCTGTACAGACTACATGTCAGCAACAGTCTCAAAACCATCAAAATTACCTTGTAAAAGGACCAAGCAGCTTCAGGTACGCCTGGCAGACCCCTGGGTGCTCCTCATGAGCTGTCTGGCCAATCCACCTCGATGGCTTTGAGAAACAGCACAGCACGTTTGAGTGCTCCAAGCAATGCATGATGTGTGCAGGGTGGTGAGGACTCTGTGTCCATTCTCTGAGAGCCCTGTGCTGCACGCAGGGAAAGGAGCCTCTTCTCCCTCCTTGTTGCTCTGCTGGAGGTCGTTGTACCCATCAATAATTCAGGTGCCTGCAGCTAGCAGCAGGTTGATGCCCAGCTAATGGGCATTGGGCTCACTGTGTCCTGCTTGCACTTTGCAGCACATGCTCACACCCACGAGCATGTTGGCTTGCTACCCTGCAGCTGCAGGCTCAGCTCTGCAGGAACTTCAAAGCAAAACAAGGAGGAAGAAGTCTGTGCTGGCTGCAGTCATCAGAACCCAAAAGCACCGTCGTCTCTGCAGGCTTGATTTAAGCTGAAAATCCAGACCCATTTCCTGGGTACAAATCATTCGAGTGAGATGAAACGATCAATGGAAGATATCATCTGTGATTCACCTCCTCAGCCAAAACCATCTCGTTGGTGAGCACAAACTCATTAGAAGTGTGATTAATGAGGTGTGAAGGCTGGAGTCGGGGTAGCCCAGCTACCTGCAGGCCCTGCTGTGCTCTGCTTGCAGAAGTGGTGTGGCGTAGCACAGTGCAGAGGGTGAGCGCTGCTCCAGCAGGGCCACGGATGTAAGAAATGACCCAGACCTCTTGGTCTCCTCCTGCAGTGCTCCTCTCAAATCAGTGCTACCATAGTGAGAAAGGGCAGGGGTGTTCAGGGAGCAGAGGGGAGGATTTAGGGGCAGGCGCCACACTGTGAGCAAATTGATTCTGGAGGTGCCACGGAAATGATGGCCTATAGAGTTAATGAGATATTGCTGAAGAAAGGGTAAACAATTAGGGCTATTAACTGCAAAGATAAAATACGACCTGTTGCCCTCCGAAACGCTGAAACTAATTAAATTGAAAATTACAGCACGAGAGTATGAAAACAAAAGCAAATAAATTCAGAGAGACCATTCAAAGGCTTAATATCACAGTGGTAATAATACTAGCAATAGGAAGTGGGGATGGGGTGCTTAAAGCTCCAGTTCCCACATCTCCTTCCTCTGAGCAGGGGCTGTGGGCAGGCAGGAGGGATGCAGCAGAGCAGATCTGGGTGCCCTCCTGCCACCAATGCTGCAGAGCTGACATAGAGCAAACTCCTGCCTGTGTGTGTGGGGATTGTGGACGGTTCTCTGAGCCTGGGAAATGGAAAGAGAGAAAAACGGTTCCCTGGGGTGGTTAGAGAAGGGCACAGGGAGATGGAATTTGCCTCGGTCAGAAGGTTCTGAGAGAGTACACTCCCAAAGTTGCTTCGTAATTTATGGGGCTGTAATAATTCTGTCCTTCTTTATGTAATATATACCCACCAGCAAGCTGTTAACACTAAGGAGGAAGATTGGCTACAAGTGTTTTGTGAGGTGATGGGGAGCCAGGCTGCAGCACACAGGGCTCTGCTTGCAGTGACCACATTGCAAAGGCATGCATGATGCAAAGGCAGCATGCGTGGAAACATCCGTGAGCATGGGAAGGAATGCTGTGCTGCTCTCCTAGCAGGACGTGGGCAGGGGGTGTGATGTGTTTGCTCTGCCTGCAGTGCCCGCCAGCACAGGCCAGGAGAGTCCTCTGTAAGAGTCATTAGCACTCCTATAATTGGTTCTAGTTAAAGAGATTAGAGCCAAATTAACTTTGTGGTTTGCCACCCAGAAATAATCCTATTTTAAGTGGACAGATTCTTCTTCAGCCTCCAAGGAGACAATGAATGGGCAATGAGCTGCTTGAACTCTCAGCAGTGAACCGGGCTCTTGGTTCTTTCTTTTGGGAACCTCTGGCATGACCAGAACTCACTGGGGTTGATGGGATGGAAGGCTGATGTGTTGGCAAAGGTCTCATCTGACAGCCCAGCATCAAGGGAATAAATAATAAGGGAATAAACCCACGCTGAGAACAGCAAGAGGATGCTTCAGGCAGGAACCTGTACACTGCAGCACTGAGCGTGAGTCTTGGTGCTCCCACTGCCCTCTTTTAGGTTTGTTCCACTTATGGTACAGTTATTTTTCCTGCTACATTGCAAGTGCTGCTTTCAGATACACGGCAGCTTCCCTAGGAATAAATGCTTCTTCCCTTTCCAGGTTTGAGAGACTTATTGTTGGATTTGAATACTGCTTTCCAGGAGTGGGAATAAAGCTGAGCGAAATGCAGCTAATACCCCAGCAGCAAAACAAGAGATGAGACATTCAGGAAGACAGAAATGTGCCAGTTTGGGTCAAGTGCTGAAGCTCAGCATCCCCAGGGCCTGCAGTGTTGTGTGATGCTATGCTTAGGGCAGTGGCAGCCCCAGTGCTGCCCTGCTATGGGCTGGGGAACCCGGGCACTGCTCTCAAGGACTCTGGTGCCCTTGCACGCAAAGATTTTTGTGATCTGTTGATGGAGAACAAAGTCTCTTTTTATAGTCATTTCATTATGATGCTTAATTCCTTCTGCAGAAGCAATTACATTCTATGGGCGGAAAGCAATATTGGAGACTTATGATTGTTATTGCCATCCCACCCGGTGCCCGCGCGCTCACGGTGCCATAGGAATGACAATCAGGGCTGGCAGTGCTGGGCTGTGCAGGGACAAACAGGGGCTTAGTGCTCACAGATAACCCCGTCCATCCGCCCAACCTCTACACTGGGGCAGCAGCATGGCACACCTGGTGGCTTTGCTGGGGCTGCTCAGACACTGGGTGACCTGTGGGAGTGGGAAGCAAGCGGCCACGGACCCTCTCTGCTCATTCATTGCTTCACTGGAATTAATTAGGCACCTTGCTTCCAACAAATGTGGGTTTGTCGTGGAGAGTCATCTGCCAAACGATGTCTTCTCCATTGGGCACCATTTCCCTTTGGGTATATTCCTCCCAATTTGCAAAGGATGGAGATGCTGGGGCTGCTTGTGACATCCCAGCACAGCGGGCAGGCTGCAAGGCTGATGCATCAGAGCAGCTCGTTAGTGTAATGATATCAGTGAAGCTCAATGCCAGCAGTGGCACAGATGTGGACCTCTGTGAAGGCACAATGTGATCGATGCTGCCCATCAGGAGGGAGCTGGGCTGGGACGTGGGCAGGGCTGTGCTTGCCATCCTTTAATGGTTATAAATGGTTACCTTTAGCACTGAAAAAGCTGAATAGATACAAATATCACCAATACCATAAGGGTGCACAGGGCCTCATTATCCTTGGGTAATCGAGGTTACGCGGAGCTGTTCTCCTTTATCTGTCACTGTCTCTCTTGGCAACGTGATGAAGCAGAAAAACCTCAAGGATGAACCGCCCAGGAGGAGGGCAGGGGCCCAAAATTGCACTGGGAGAAGGACAGAGGGGTCCCATGCTGGGGAACCCCAAACTGCACTGCCCATCCCTGGGTGAGAGTTACCAACAGCACGCATTCTGTGTTCTGCACCCAAGGCACAACATGGTTGCAAACAGTGGGTATACAGGCATTCAAGCTTGGAATTTGCTTTCTGTAAGTGTTCTCACTAATGAAACCGGGGCTGTAAAATATTCCTGGAAAGTGCTTACAACGGCTTTCAGATATATGGAATGATGTTTTTATGTTATCTCAGATTTGCTTTCCACTCCTGAGGCCTGCAGCTCCTCCCCTCTCCCCCCACGCTCGCCATGGAGGAGCTGGGCTCTGCAGCAGCGCAGAGCAGCGCGCCGTACGTGCGATTGCACACCTGTGCAGCCACAGATGTTCTGACAAAAGTCCTTTAAAACTCCATCTCTTCTCATTAAACGGCAAACAAAGAGAGCTGTTTCAAATAAGTCTCCTCCTATCCCCTGAAGAAGCAACCCATGTGGCCTCAGAGCTCTGTGCATCCCAGGCTGAGGCTGCTGCCCCAGCCATTGCTTTGGGTTTGTTGCAGTCTTCATGAAGAGCTGCTTAGAGGGAGAAGCTTGAGGAGTCAAGGCAAGCTGAGCTCGTTGGCTCACTATTTCAATTTCACTGTAGGCAGCAATACTGTCAGTGTGATGGAAACGACCTCAAATTGCCATTGTTGGGTTATTTAATCTGGCCAGGTTCCTTTCAGCTCTCACCTGCTGTAAAAGAAGACGAATTGTCTCTCGTGTGCTCCAGGACCTTTACACACACAGGACAGCAGTGATTTTGTGTGTCTGGAGCGGTGATGCTGCAGGGGTGCGAGTGCCAGGACAGCCCTGGGCTGGGGGCTTTGTGCTGGAGCTGCATTTCCCCATTCTCTGAGGAGCTCTGACGGAGGAAAGCAATACTGCAAGTTGAATGCATCAGCATTTGCTTCAGATATTCTCCTCGCTGAGCATGTGTTTCCCCTTGTGGCAAACAGGATGGTTCAGCACAGCGGGGCTGTGCTAATGGTGGGCCAGGCTGCAGGCAAAGCCATGCAACCCCCAGTCCTGATTTCACTCACAGCTTCCCAAGAGCAGCTCCTGAAAGGAAAGCTGGGCAGGGAAAAGTAGTTAACTCCCCATGGCACATTTGAGCATCATTTTTATTACCTTTCATCCGTTCTGTGCACTTTGCCCTCTTCTGATTTATTCCTGCTCGAGGTGGAGCGACGTCACTCTTCCGCAGCTCCTGTTTCCAAGAAGGATGGTTCATTCTCTGTGTGTGTGGCTGTGTTCTGGAGGTGTCCCCATAGGAAAATCAGGGGTGGCAGCACCCCAGGGATGCTTCCTGCCCAGGGCTGGCCTCACAATCCAGCCTGGATGTGACGGGGTGCAATATGGGGGGTATGCAGTGCATTGGGGTGGGATGGGTATATTGCAGTGCCATGGAGAGGGATGGGGTGTGATGCAATGCCATGGGAAGAGGTGAGGTGCGATGCAATGCAATGCTATAGGGAGGGATGGGGTGTGATGCAGTGCAGTGGGATGCAGTAGGGTGCATGCAGTGCTTGTACAGCCGTGTAGTACAGAGCAGCATAAGCCTGAAATGTACTGGAAATAATTCTTCCACCAAGTGCATTCAGATCTGTTTGTTTGTCTTTAAATTAACATTGGGTATGAAATAATTCACTGAACTACAAAGAGATCCCTTGACTTGACAAGACTCACGGGCAGGATTTCTTCCACTTGCAGTTATCACAGAAAGAAAACATTTCAACATCTTGTCTGCTCAGCGCAAGAAAAATAGTTTTGTTCTGTGTGCCTGGCAAACAAGGAGCTTATCAAAAAAAATCAGGTATCAGAGGAACGAGATGGCAGAGGAGAAGATGGAGCTGTGTCTCTTCATGTGTTGCTGCAGGGAGAGGATGAGTCCTGGCATGGTAGGATGTGGGGATGCTGGGGCTGCCTTGGCTTGCCACCCTCTGCCCTGTGGCTCTGATGGTGCTCTGGCCTTCCATCATGCAAGCATGCAGGGATGATGGGGAATGATTAGGAAGAAAGCATGGGTGGATAAGCCAGGCCATCAAAGAAGACATAAAGCCTCGAGTAATAATTAGAGATGGGGAGTGGAGATGTGACCTTGCGAAGCATTAGGGAAGAGAACTTCTAATTAGGAAGCAAAAGGGTCAGCCATTGTTTAACCCGCTCTGAAAGTCATTAAATCAGTCCTGATGACTTCACTGCCAAGAAGATTTGGAAGAAGAGCTGATGAACTGTAGCAAAACTGACCCAACAAGATGGGCTGCAGGTGGGGCAGTGCTTCCCATGGGCCCCATAGGGAGGAGGGGAAGGGATGGCTCCTTGGAACCGACCCCATAGAGCGACCCAGCAGTGCACACAGAGCCTGAGAGCCCCATAACTCCTCTTCTAATGGCTGTGGGACAGGCTCTTATGCAGTAAATATTTCCAGGTGAATGGGGGCTGGAAAGAGTCATTTAAGGCAGGGAAGAGATGGTGAGCTTTTGCTTCTGGGAAAACCAGACAGAAAGATGGATGTCAAGGAAAGTTTCCAGGAGAACATTAGGCTACAAGTCATAAATTTCCAAACTATTCTACTGCATAAATCCCGTTAATTTTTGGTGCCTTGGGACCCAACACAAAACAAACCTCAAAGAATTAAATAAGTCAGGGGAGATAAATATTTCTCTCAGATTTTGCAGCCACCGCTGCTCGCCTCCCAGCTGCACAGAAAGTCTTGAAGGAGCATCCCAGAGATTCAGCTTCTGGGGGGCCTTGGGTGGAGATGGGGATTTCGGAGACTTGTGGGCCAGGATGCAAAGCTGAGGGATTGGAAGGTGCAGAGCTTAGAAAGGATTTTATTTCTGTGCTGTTTTTGCAAACTTCTGTTTAAATCTTCAGGCTCTCTCAGAGTCAACAAGGTTACCCAACGATGAGGTTCCCTCCTGCCATTAGCTCTCTTCCAGCCACTTAATGAAAACAAATGCCAACAGGGATAAGGGCCATCGTTGTTTGCCTTCTGCAGGTCCCTGGAACGGGTTCACTTTGGGCTCTTTTTTTTTAATTCACGTTATTTTAACAAATGAATCAAATTATATCCTGGCTGCTCCCAGATATCTCATTCCCAAAACGTAATGGAGCTGTTTCTGTGCTCCGCTCATTAATCCTATTAGTGCCCCATTTTGTGCCTGGCGGTGGACGCGTGAAATACGAGTTACTTTAACAGGGCACAGAACAAGAGGTCTTTGGGGCTGTTTGCTGCAGTTGGGCAGGTGTGAGGCTGCAGGGCTGATGTGCTTTCACCTTTGGCTCTGAATGAGACCTCTGGGTCTGTGGGAAAGGGGGCAGCACGGATGGGCACAGGGCTGGGAAGGCAGAAGCTGGGCGCTTCGCTTCTGCAGGGTTCTGCTGGTGGAGGGCTGTGATGGGGAAAGGGTTTGTCACATTTTATGGGGTTTATCCCAGCTTTGTAATCAACTCTGGCTGGTGAAATGCAATCTCCTTTTAAAAGCAGAGAATTAAAGCTTCCCAGATGGTTTATGGCAGAACCGCAGCAGAAAGCAAGCAGGGAGCAGTCAGACAGCAGGAGGGGATATCTGTGCAATAAGCCAGCCTTAAGACCATGTAGGCAAGCAAATAAGAGCTGATGAGAATCAGTTTGTTTGCAGCAGGACCTCAGCTGCAGCAGCTCATATTTCCAGCAGCATTAAACTTCATTCTCTCTATCAGATCCCCAAATTTTCAGACCCCACCAATGTTTGGGTACCCAGGCAGCAGCAGGGCATTGCTCTGCAGCCCAGGTGTGCTGTTTGCATGGGAAACAAAGCCAAGTGCAGCAGAAAGGGCTGCTTAGCACTTGGGTTGGGGCAGAGGCCGAGTGTTTAAGCGTTCACCCCAAAGCTGCTACGTTTGGAGTTATTCTGAGAGTGTTTAGAAATGTTTTCTCATACAGTTCAGAGCAGGGAAAGGGCAATGATGCATCAGGAGATGAGGATGAGTTGAAGATGGTGTTTGTTCTGCTGGTTTCAAGGACCGGGTGCTGCCAAACCCTCATCATCCCAACACACACAGGTACAGAATGGGCACGGAGG